TTAAGAAGAGAAAGTTACGTAATTCTGCACGAAAAAACGGCGAATGTTCAGCAAAAAAACTCATATTACATGAAAATGGTAACGAAAAAGTGAATAAATCTAGTTGCTAAATTTAGAAAAACAATTCTTTAACACATGGTGTAGTCAGAATCCATGTTTTGGGGCTCCTTGATACCGAAAGGTCGATTGACAGCAAAACGTCTTTCTGTCCATATATGAACAATACAGCGGCTAAACTGTTCAGTCGATTTTCTCAAAAATTGATGTCGTGTCGCCCCTCCCCCCCCCCCGAATTTGAACGTATATTTTAATTTTGGAGGGTACTTTGCACAAGACCCATGGCGCATTTTCAAAGTTAAAAAAATGGCATGATCGATTTTGATTAAATTTTGTTGGTAGATAGTCTGAAGGACGTTTAAGAGAGTGATGGGCTCATGTTGGTTAAAAACCCTGATTTTACGAAAATTGAAAATAATTAAAGGACATTTAAGAGAATGGTGTAGATTTTATGTTAGATGAATTTTATTTTTCGAAAATTGCAAAAAGTCAAAATGTTTTTCCGCATCTTCCTACAACTAAAATATAAAAAAAATATTTTTCCCTTAATAAAATCTGTTCCTTATAGATAGATTTCGAAATAACGTCATGTACAATTTTTTTTTAATGTCAGTATTTTTCGCGTTATTTTGCGTGAAATATAGGCAATTTTTAATTTTTGTTTAAACAGTTTTTTTCAAAAACGACTCCATCGTTTTTGATGCAATTTTGTTCGTGGGTAGTCTGAAGGACGTTTAAGAGAGTGATGAAGGTCTCATGTTGGTTAAAAACATTTGAAAATTTGAACCAAAAAAATTAAAATTGTTTTCGTACAATTACAATTGTGAAGATAAAATTCTTCCTAAAATGTGTTTATAAAAAGCCGATCTTTAAGTAAGGTCATGTTCAATGTTTTTTGAAATATTAGTATTTTGTATAAATTGACGACAAAATTAAATGCCCGCTGCGATTTTACAGCGTTTTGTGAACGATTCCACACAGTTGGATGCTTCGTAAGTCAGTATTTTTATATTGTTTATTATTAACGCTAGTTGCATTTGGACCGCCCGCGCGCCGCACCAGAGTAGCTGCCCGGTCACGCCCCTCCCGCGACCACGGGGGGTCGTAGAGCTTTTGTCAAGGACCGCCTTCAACTCCCCGGCGCGCTTCCGATAAGCGGCAGGGATCTTACCCTCGCCGCCACCGCCGCCCCCGCGGACGAGGGTGGGGCCTGCAGGGGTAGGTTTCGCCGACCCTCCGGCGACGACGAACAAAGGGACCGCAGCAGACCGCATCAGTGGGCCCTTCCGACGTGCAGCGGGCGTCCGCTGCTGCGGCAAGCGGTGGCGGGCTCTCGCTACGCGAAGCGGAGGAGGGTGTAACCGCCACCTCTAGCAGAATACAGCTTTAAATGGGAGCCTTCCCACTGCGCCACGGCCACAGCGCAGAGCTGCTCTTTATACCTGCTGCGGTCCCTTGGCCGTCGTCGCCGGAAGGTCGGCGAAGAGCCCTGCCGATTGACGTACGCGCGCTGCCGTGACGGCGTGGGCGTTAGGCGACCGGCGGCGCGGTGGGAATACCATCAGCCTTCACAGGTCGCCACGGCGGCGCGCTTCCGTCAACAGGCAGTGCTCTTCCGACGCCGCCACCGCTGCAGCCACGGCCGCACTGCCGCCCGCCATGGATGGGGATGGGTTCTGCAGGGTAGGTTTCGCCGACCCTCCGGCGATGACGAACAAAGGGACCGCAGCAGGTAAAACGCCACGACCGGCGCGCCGCGGCATCATTTAAAGCTGTGTTCTGCTAGCGGTGGCGCGTATGCCCTCCTCCGCTTCGCGTAGCGAGAGTTCGCGGCAACGACGCAAACCCGCCGCACGTGGGAAGGTCTCCATTCGAACCAATGCTCTGCTATGAGCCGTGGGGTTCGGAAGCGCGCCGCGGTGGCGTGTGAAGGGGCCCTTAAAGCTGTATTCTGCAACCGGTGGCGCATACGCTCTCCTGCGCTTCTCGTGGCGAGGGTTTGTGACGAACAGCGCAGCGACGTGAGCCCGCCGCGCGTAGGAGGATCTCCATTTAAACCAATGCTCTGCTACGAGTAGCGGCGTTCGATGCGCCGCGGTGGCGTGTGACCAAGCCCCCACGAGCGCCGCGGACCCACCACCCTCGGCGTGTCGCGGCGCACTTCAAAACCCCTTCTTCTGCACGTGCTTTTTATGACTGTATTACCGCCCTTCGGAAGGGCTGCCATCTGTAGGGACGATGCAGCCGCGTCTTCTCGGGCCGCGCGTTCCGCTGTTTGTGCTCATCATTAGGAAATGAACTTTAATTTTGATTATGCCAAACAAATTTATGGACTGTTATTTGTGCATTACTAATTCAATTTTAGAATTAGTTTTTTTTTTTTTCAATAATAATTCGCCGCTAGGAACCCGGCATTAATTTTGTATATAGTGGAGTAGTTTTATAATTGTTTTGTTTTCCCTTTTCTTTTTTAAGACCATAAGTTTTATTTGATTCCAAGAGGCATTATTATTCTCTTTTACCTTTGATCATTAAATTAGTCGTTAAGTTGTGCTTCTTCATTTACCATTTGGCCGACATCGATCATTTCTCCTTACGAGGTGGTCCTCCCAGCCTTTCTTCTCTGACTATATCGTGGAACTAGCAGAGGCCTTTCTGTGTACTATGTATGCATAGAGCCAGCAGTCGAGTCCATGCTGTTGGCTCATCATCGTACGTCGTGTGAGAGGTGGGTACCAGGTGAGTACCGCATCTTCACGCACTCACACGTCACGGATTCGCAGTACGCATACGTTTAATATTGCTTTGTTTGTTTCTTACATTCGACCTTTTGTAATACATTTACACATTAATCTTTTAGAAATTATTTAAAACCTTTTTGAATATATGAAATACAAATTGCTAGCTTTCAGGGAATATAAAAAAATGCAACAATCAAATCCGTGTCGCGCTTGCGAATTCCTGTGAATTACGTCTCATTGTTGTGACATGATTTAGCTGTATGAAAAGAAGTTATACTTGTCAATTTTGTGTATATTTGCTTTAAAATATTAAGTTTTCGCTCCAAATGCTGTTTTATTTGTCATGAGTAGACCCCGAAAACTTATGCACTTAAAATAGCCAATACACGCGCTTAAAATTCAGAATATGCGTTAAACAAAAATTTAGGGAGCAACAAATAACATTTATTTACATAAATATTTATTTTACACCATAGTACAAAACGCGTATAAGAAAAAATTAAATACTTCAAGGAAAAGGGAAAGATAGTTTATCTTCTTCTATCGCACGACGGCCCTTTAAGTTTAGCCTTGGCGTCTCGAACGATCAATGCCCATTCACTTCTCTTTTGCCTTTCTTCTCCACCCCCTCACCCCACCCCCCATTTTCTAGCCATCTTAAACGGGGTCTTCCTTTCTTTCTTCTTCCTTCGGGTTGTTTACAGAAAATAATTTTGGGAAATCTTTCTTCTTCCATTCGTAATAGATGTCCGAGCCATTGTAGTCTTCTGACCATAATTTCTACAACAATGCCTGTTGTTTTATACAGATTTGCCCGTTCTAAGTTACTCTTTATCCTCCAATATCTTTTTCCATATGTGGGGCCGAAAATGCATCTTAAGATTGTCCATTGTTAGGACATCAGTACACACTCCAGTTTATTTGTTAATATCCAACTCTCGGTGCCATACAATATTACTGGTCTTATTACCGTATGATACCCTTGGACCTTGAGGGACCTACGTATTTTTCTTAAAATATATCTTAGTGCTCTGAAACTCCTATTGGCTGAGGTCATACAGGATAATTGGAAACAACTAAAGTCATAGATTTTGGTGAATCCTGCAAAAGAGAAATTAAACTGCGTTTTCTACAAATGTATAACTTTGAACAATTTTATAATTCTATTGAATTTGGATGTGAGGAAAGGCAGGATATTGTAAAGTCAGTGAGATTGCACTTTATTTTTTGTCTTAGTTTTTACGTGTAGGATTTACAGAATTTTGTGTTTTTTGTTTGTTTGTTGTTGTTGTTTTTTTTAGTTTGTTGTACTTATGTTTTTATGTATTCTTTGAATGTATGTGTTCTGTGTTAACAAACATCTTAGTCTTATAGTAAGTCACACACAGTTTTTAACTGTTTTTGACATAAATAAAATAAATAAAAACAAGCATTGGAGACATATCTGTATGAAGGTTACAAAGTAACTAACTGGGCAGACACGTTGCTGATTGTCCGCATAAACAGTTTTTAAAATTTCAATCACCTGCTCTCAGATTAGGGGAGTATTGGTGATTGATGCACCACACCCTATGAGCCAGTCTGAGTGTTTGGTTTGTTAAAGAAATACAAGAGAGTGGCGCTCGCAATAAGATAGTCCAAAAGCCGCTATTTCACTTCAGGGTTTATTGTTAATGTTGTATAAATTCCCCGCTTATATTATTTCAGTAGTATAGATGAGTTTTGCGGCTCTCTCACTTTTATAGTGAGATTTTCTATGAAGGAGAATTTCACGGAGGCGTGAAGAATTTCACTTTGGATTTTGTTTGAATGTTTTTTTCTCACGACGTCTGTCTATATGAATACTTATGTATTTAATGCTCTCAGTTTGCGGTATTTGATTTCTTTTTATCATAACATGTGGACAACTTTCTTTCCTAAGAATAAACGTTATATGTGCAGATTTACTTTCATTTATCTCTTATTCTCCACTTGTTGCACCATTCTTCAAGTGCAGTAAGGTGATCTTGAAACATTTCCTATGTTTCTCGAGAATCGTTGTACAAGCCAATATAGCTGTATCATCTGCAAAAGTGGCAATAATTGTGTTTTCAGCTTCCGGGATATCAGCTGTATATAACAAATATAGCACTGGTCCAAGAACACTTCCTTGAGGCACTCCGGATTTTATAGGAAGTAAGTTTGAGATTTCATTTTGGTATTTGATTTGGAAATAACGATCTAAAAGATATGACTGTAAAATATCAAAAAATGAGTAGCGCCGACGTTTATAAAGGAGGCCTTTGTCTATACCCTATCGTAGGCCTGAGAGATGTCAAGAAAAGCAGTAAAACAATATTGTTTATTCTGATAGTTGCTTTCTGTACACAATGTTATCCTGTTCATCTGCTCTATGATAGTGTTGCTGACGAAATCCAAATTGATGGTGTGGTACGATGTAGCTGTTGCATGATAAGTAAGGTTGTAGTTTTGTTATTTTCCTGTTATTGAATTGACGAGTGTTTTGTGTTAATAAAAATATAATCTTAAAAGTGATCTTTTGATAAACTTCTGTGTTAATTACACATTGAAAATGGAAGTCATAAAATGTATTTTTCATGTTAATAACGATTGAAAGTAAAAAAAAGAACAAAATAGTGGAAGGATTTTAATAAGATGAGTAATACATATTAGCAACAAGATGTAATTAATTATGTAGTTCATTCTTACCTAACAGATACTTTCTCTGGTGGTCTTATTTCTTCTTACATAAATGTATTGATATGTTGTATGAATACTTATAGTAATAAGAAAAATAATTTATTGAATCAATTGAAACCATAAAAATACTATCCTCATTTGAAGGTTGTTTAATAATGTTTTTATAGAATCATTGCTTTTCACAACTGTAGTTTAATGCATGCATGTAGTAAATATATTGATTTAAGTAATTATAACTCTGAAGATCAACTTTAACACCTTTCCATTAGTCATGTATTTGAAGTAAGTTCTAATAAACAAACAGTACAGTTTATCTATTAAACAAGCAGTACAGTTAATCTTTTACATCACTTTAATATAGTCATGCAATACTGATAAGACTTGTATAATAATGGGAGGTATACGAGGAAATTTTGTAAAATTATTATAAGGGAATTTCAGTAAGTAATCCTTAAAGCATTTTATATAATCAGAGACAAAGAGTATCATTATTATATTATTAATTATGGATAATGGTTTTACAAAGTTTGAAAATATATAAAAATTAAATAAATTATTAGACATGTCTGTGGATAACCTGATCCTAAACTCTTGCAGATTTTAATTGCAATAACATTTTTAGCAAATGTGTTAATACCAGTATAAGAGAACATTCTTTTCAGGTGAGCTGAGGTGTTTTTGTTATATTTTTTGTGTGTGTTTATGATACTGCAACTGATAATGATACGCAACTGAGACCACACCCACCTGTAAATATGCATTAACTCTGTAAAATATAAATATACTTATTAATTTTATTTTATGTTATTGATCATTGGCAACAATGAATATCTAATTATGTAAAGTTCTCTTAAAAATGTAGAACTGGTAACAAAAAACGATTTTTCTTACTTACCTCCAATAATTTTGCCACCCAGGATGTAACAAAAATGTGAGCGACTCGAGTCCCTACATCCATTATTTTTTTCCATAACCAGCAATGTTTATTTCCATTGAAGCTAATTTTCAATTCATGTGATTTTTACCCAAGAGCAGGTCTATATGTCCTGGGTTGAGCATAACTCAATATAATGAAACAGAGCAAGTAATAAATTAATTGTATAAAATTTAAAAAAATGAATTTATTGTGCCATACACTAAAATACCAATACTATAAATACCTTACTTATAAATACTAATAAACCTTACACTAAATAACTGATAGACCAAATAGTAACTGAGGAAAGTAATATAAGAATAAAGAATTTCACTAAAAGCACTACAATTCAGGAAATAACTAAAATAAAACAAATAAATGTAAAATTATATCAATAATAGCACAAGTCACTCGAAATAATGGCAAACGATCACAACATGCCTACCCTGTTGAATTGTTGGTGGAATCTCCGGAAGTTGTCATTTTTCTGTCGCAAACATAAATCAATAACAAGTCACTATTCGGATTATTACAATATATATCCATTAATTCTAGTAATGTTGTTCAGAAACGCTCAAACGCCATGTTCTCAAAAGCAGCTCCAATTTTTTTTATTTAATCATTTTGTACGGATAGTGCTAAAAGCACTGTTTAAGATGACATAAAAAAATCACTGTAATCTTTTGTTGTTTTTCAAAAATTACACAAATATTTAGTTGTTTTTTTTTAATCTCTCATATCGTTAATATACACATTTCTAGCGATTTGTATATATTATTGCATTTGTGAGTGGAAGTGCTTCAAATGACTTCCATTAATTTTTTTTCGAAAACTCACAAGATTTCTGGGAAAAAGAGGTTTAATTTTCGCAGTTACAGTAATTCTTAAACGCCATTTTCTTAAAAACGGCTCCAAAGTTTTCAATATTTCCTTTCTACAGGACGAGGTTTTACTGTTGTATAATATTCTGAAAGTAATTTTTCGGTTTCACCTTTAGGAAACCGAAAAATTCAGAAATATTTTTTTAATGTTTTAGTCGGCGATATATGGCAGATGGCAAGAGGATAGATCAAGACCTAAAAGCGATACCGCACCAAAGAAATTAGAAAACTAATTAGTACGGGAAAGACTTTGCCGGTCTATAGCACCCCTTTAGCTCGTTTATAGCACCACTACTTTTAAATTGGCGCGCTGATTTTCACACTGCAGTGTTTCTCGTCATTTCGTAGCATTCAGTTGGCATTCGTGTACAGCCACAGACATTGTATATTGTTTACAAGCGTATTTTGAGAGAAGCACGTGTGTTTGTTGTTATTGTAGTGATAGTTTCGTGAATTTAAAATGACACGGTGAATGATTTTCGATAACAGAAAGTTTCGGGGAAATCAGTTCCCTCGGAAAAAGGAAGAAAACATGTTGGTGTTCGCAAGTACTCCGCTCATTTCATACCAGTCCACCAATTGCATCTCCCAACGAACTCGAGTATTTGGAAAACGAAGGTAATAACTTTCGTGTGGAAAGTAGTAGTAGTGAATATAATATTACAGATGTCAGTGTGTATTCACAATTTTTTAACGTCTGCTAAATGCAAGATTTGTGATGTAACGGAATGCCTTTCTTTTTTTGAAGGTTCTGTTGTCCGAAAAGGTTTGGCGAAAAAAATTTGCATTATTTGTTCAAAGTGCCAAGTCAAAAACAATGCCGTGGTTTCAAACAAGAACACAGAAGGATGTGAAGTCAATCTAAGGCTTCGTGATACCATGAGGTGTATGGGCAATTTGAAATTTCCTCCACCTTGGACAAAATTTTTATTTTACCTGAACATTATTTTACCATCTGTAGAAAAGATTACAGAACAGTGAATGATAAAGGCTGTGCAAGAATCTGTTTCATTGAACCACAATGATAGTGATATCACTGCAGCTTTCGATGGAGCATGGTACAAACAGGGCCTCACATCTTAGGACAGTGTTATCACTGCCACCTCATTAAAGACAGGTAAAGTGACAGCTGATTAATATTGTTTTCAATTGGTTGTCACAATATAATTCTATTTAATTGTTTTTCAGTCCCTTTGTAAATTGTGGACAACCATAATAAACACTTCCGAAAACTTTTACATAATAATTTTATTTATTTGTTTACTATTATTATGACATTTTGGAGACTGTTCTGTCTCCCTTATCTGTCACAACAAAATTTAATTATAAAAATATTTCAATAAAGCCAAAATGGTTTTCACAAAATTTCAAAAAATAACAAATAGATCTAAACTACCCAATTCAGTGAAAACTCTCCTGTTATATCTAGAAAACTAAAAGTAATATATACAAAAATATCTACAATATCTACAAATTATACACAAACATATCTGAATTTTAAAATACGTGGTGGAGTGCAGTCCAGTCACATTACAGTTCAATGTTTAAATTGAGTCCTTGCAAATTTGAAGGAGTAACAGAATGTAGGAGATGGTTGAAGGTTTAACAGGATGTGGGAGATAGTTGAAGGTGCAATTTCCAAAGGTTTTATCGTAATGTTAAAAAAGGGAGGTGTTTTGCCGAAAATTATTTAGTATGTTGTCATAAATCTTTGTTAACTGATTGGATTCTATTACGGAGTTCTGAGTTTTTATATTCAATGATTCTAGCATTATTCTTTTATTTCTGTTGGGTTCTACCATTGTACAGTAATACTGATTCGAAAAACCCTGGATGCGATGTTCAAGTGCCTTATCACCTAATGAGTTTTAAACAATGGTCAATTATTAAAACAATACCGCCTTGAAAAGTGTTCTGTTTATTTTTTGTGACGTGTAATATAAAACTTTTGATATTTACTGTTATACTTCTATGTATTTTTCTCACTCACCTGGGTAACAGTCTATTGATCTTTGATATGTATTTCAAATTTTGTTTTGTTTCATTCCAAGTTTTAAATAAGTATTCAATATTTTTGGTGTCCTGGTTCAATGCACTTCTTGAACCAGGGTTACGGCGGTGTTGTATACAAGAAACATGTTTTTCATTTTTATTTTTTTCTCAGCTTCTGTTGCATGTATCAGGTTGAAAAAAGTACAGAGACGGAAAAAAACGGTGGTGCTACAAAATGGCACAGGCATTCCTGTATTAGTTTTCTATTTCCTTTGGTCTCGGCTAGCTATTCAGACTTGCCACATACTCTTGCCAGCTGCCATCTATTGCCACCCAACATTTTTTTGACATTTTCTTAATTTTTTGGGTTCCTAATAGTAGAATGGAAATATTATTTGAATAATATTAAAGAACAGTAAAACCTCGTTCTAAATGTACATTTTTATTGAAAGGTTTGGAGCTGTTTTTAAGACGACATTTCAAGCACATCCAGTCACAAATACAGTAGTGTTCACAAATTGCTGGAAATGTGTGTATTAACAGTGAAAGAAATCTTTTAAAAAACTTACATTTGTGTAATTTTGGGAAAACATTCCTCAAAATCAACTTTACGTCATAATAAATAGTGCAATTACCACTATCCCATTGAAAAGATTGAAAAAAAAAATTAATTGGAGTAGTTTTTGGCGTTTGAGTGTTTCTGAAAATGCCGAATGTTGAGCTAGTTTTCACAGAAAACGGTTGTGTTTTCCAGAAAAGTTATGACATTATTTAAAGCACATGTACTCATTTCTATAATAATGTAAACAACGATTTTGAAATGAAAAGAAGACGCGGAACAAAATTAATTTTTTTTAAATTTTCGAAAATTCAGAGTTAGCCTTGAAAATCGGACCTATGCCACTGTCGTAAGTGTATTTTACTCTATTCTTACAAGGAATGTAAAGAAAAAAAATGTTCGGTATCGAGGAGCCACAAAACATGTATTCTGGCTACATCACGTGTTACAGGATTTTTTTCTAAACTGAATATATCCACTTTTGCGTTACCAGAACCCGGCACTAAGAGTTTTTCCGCGAAAATTCGTCGCTTCATCCCGCAGTATTACATAACTTTTTCTTCTTAAGACTTTCCTTCTGAAGTGCTAGAAAGTCAAAATTGCTCGAGCTTTAGAAATAAATGGACATTTCATTGTATTTTTGAACTTGTACTGCTTCAGAATGGCACAGATGTTCTCGCATTAGTTTTAGCCCGTTGGTCTCGGCTGGCTATTCGGGCTTTCCACATTCTCTTGCCAGTTGCCATCTATTGCCGCCCGAAGTACATTTTTTAAAATCTTTTGTAAATATTTCCTGAGAAACACCTTCACATTTTGTCTTTAATTTTCATACTCGTATGTAGCAAAAAACTGTGAAGATAGTGGCGATGGTCCTATATTCGGCGCACTCTTTCTTTTTGAAAATTGCAACAACAAAAAAGCTAAATATGAGGTTTATATTAGCAATTTATTAAGATATAATTTCAATGGGAACGATTCAGTGATTATGAAATGTTTACCTTCATTAAATTGAAAATGGTGTTAAATTATTATATCATTAATTTTAAGGGTCATCCATAAATTATGTAACGCTAATGTGGGGTGGAGGGGATTGAGGCGGCGTTACTATAGGGTTAGGGAGCATTAGTTTAGTGTTACGTATCATAGATCTTTATTTTTTTACATTGTTCAACATTCACTGAAATAATTTATATTTTAACCTGATACTAAATCAAATTATAAAGTAATTAATAAGTGTTTTAAAAACATAAATTAGTTATTAGATGTGAATTGATAGAATTAATGGTAATATTTTTCCATCAATATTTCATTGAATCTATGAAATTAGGAAGAAAATATACAAAACATTAATGGAGCAAGCATAACTTATAATCCTTCGAGCGATCGTTCGGGTGGTATGAATTCCGCCTTTGAAAATAAAATGGCGCTGCGTGTTGATGTCTGAACTGAGCATGGTGGGAAGCTAGGTATCAGGGAGTTTGTGCATCCTGGAACGTTAAAGCATTATCTATCTTCTGCGCGTACGTAGTTCAAGTTTCGTATCACTAGTGTATCTGCACACGTACCCACGGCTCCAAATTTTTTCTATGAACTTCTGGTAGGGATACAGAAAAATGCACTCTATGAGATGGCACTAATTTGCTCTATCTTAGTTTCTTTGAAAAAATTACAAAAATTGTATATTTTTCACATCTCTCCCACGTTGTTAATATTTACATTAGCGGCGATTTGTTAATATTATTTCATTTAAGAATACATGTGCATAAATGATGTCTTGTAAAGTTTCTTGAAAACTCAAAAGTTTTCTGTAAAAACGAGCCCAAAAATCCGCATTTTCAGAAACATTTAAACGCTCTTTTCTCAAAAACAGACAACAAACAAACTTAATTTTTTCTTCAAACTTTTCGTGTATATAGTGATAATTGCACTCTTTGAGATAAATATTAATTTTGCTGTATTTATTCATTTATGATCACTTTATGATGTGAAGGTCATCAGCAACTCTTGTCATTATTCAATTGAATGTGTAAATATAATTGTTTCAATTATGACAAGAACAAAACTGTTATAGTTAATCTCATTTTTACAATATGTAAGGTTAATCTAACTACGTTATTAACCTATTACAGTATTTACCTATGTAGCTGCTGTACAGTTCTGTAGTTAAGAATTTCATTATTTTGGCATACCCGTGTGTGTTTTTTTAAAATTTTTTTCATAAATTTAATTATTGTAATTTTTTAAATGTCTCATAGTCACATTTCCAACGATTTGTACAATTTTTTGCATTTATATGTTCATGTGCTTTAAATGAAGATTTTCGAAAACTTTTCAGTGAGAAAGCTCCTCAAATTTTACTTTCACAGTGACGTTTAATCGCCATTTTCTTGAAAATGACTCAAAAGTTTTCAACGAAAATTGTCATACCGGACGAGGTTTTACTCTTCTATAACATTGATTAAGTAATATATCAGTTCTACCATTAGGACACTGAAAAATTGACATTTAAAAAAACAAAATTGGGCGGCTAAAGATAGCAGATGGGAGAAGTATGGGGCAAGTCAAAATACCTAGCCCAGACTAAAGAAAAAAGAGAACTAATACGAAAATGTCTGTGCCATTCTCTGACACCACTAGTTTACTTTCTCCCACTTAGTAAGAGAAAGCATTATAATCGTGCGCCGGAGAAAGACGAATTTCCGACACAAAAACTCTTGTTGCCGGGCCCTAGTAACGAAAATGTGGGAAAATCCAGTTGTTACACATAGAAAAAAATCGTATTACACGTGGTGTATCCAGAATGCATGATTTGTGCATCCTGCATACTGAAAAATCAATTGACGGCAAAACGCCCGTCTGCCCGTCCGTCAGTGCACTTCGCTCGCGCATAAACCGTTTAGCCGATTTTCTCCAAAAGTGATATTCCTCAATCGTTTTGGCTGATGTCGCTGCCTCTGGAATTTGAAACCAATATTTTAATTATGGAGAGTACTTGATATAAAGTCCCTCGGACATTTTGAAATTTTCAAAAAATGTTTTGACCCAGTCTTGTTTTTGAATTGTGCGTTGGATCTTTAATATAATCGTGCAGGTCTCATTTTCGAAGAAATCCCCGATTGTTCGAAAATTGCAACAAAAAAAAAAAACTGAAGATGTAGTTTTCGCGTAATTTTTGTTGGAAATTAATGAAGCATATATCGGCGTCCCATCTTACATTACGATAGCGTTTTATCGAGTGTGATGAATATTTATAATTTTTTGTAATAAAAAGTCATGATAATCCTCTTATGCTAATTATTGTGTAAATTAAATGCCTAAACCATCCAATCGAATTTATCCAATCTTGATATTTCCCTATCGATCTGAAACAAAGTTTTGAGTATTTGAAACTAATATTTTGATATTTTAGGGGATTTTTGGGGTCTCAAAAATATTTTCAAAATGTTTTTGAAAATGGCACCTGATTGTTTTATTAAAGTTTGCCTTCAGTTAGCATAAAGAGAGCCTAGGGGGATAGTTACAGTCATCTGGGTTCGAAAAATCGATTTTTTGTTTTTTATTTCAAAAGTGTATATTTTGATCTTAATCTCAGTGAAAAAAGCATATTTATTCCTGTTTTAGTTTAGAAGATACGAAGATTTAATAAACACGGTTGGCGCCTGATATATTTAAATACTGGCGCATGCCACGCCCACTCCTGAACGCTGACGACACGCAACTTACTATTTCAATTACACAGAAGTTATTTGAATTTGCCGCTGTTCATTTCTCATACCCACTTGTGCATTTGGAACAGAAGTTTCTCATACTGGAATACCGGAAGAGCATCGCAGGCCGTGGTATAACAGATGGTGTTTTTTTCCGGTGTGTTAGATTGTGTGCGATGTGTTAGTATTGTTTTTTGTGTGTTGCGAGATGGGAAAGAGAAAAGCAACGCATTACATGAAAAAGAGAACTTTTTGTAAAAATCAGTTTACAAAAGTACAGGCACAAACTATGAATTCACGTTTGAATACAAGTGCTTCTTCAAGAAAACTGAGCGAACCTACTGAGATACATCCGAAAAGTAAAAATGTAGGGAATATAATTTTCGACGTGGCCTGCTGCTATTTTAGCTGGCTACTATTTTGACCTAAGCTCGTTTATTTCTGCTAAAGAATCTTACTTGACAAGCACGGCAAAATAGGCACGGTTTCAAAAAAAAATCAATTCTCATTTTAACTTGATTTCTAATAAGGAAGTACCTAATACGTCTTAAGATCCTGACATTTTTTGTCACTGAAAGTGATCCTCCCATCTCTACAGCTTCAGATCTGCAAAGCATTCAACCTCAAAACGATTTTATTGTCGCTATCAGCCCTGAAGATTGGAGGGAGCTCCGCCCTTCAGTAAGAAAATGGAATTCATGAAATCGGCCTCAAGGAAGAAATTGTCTTAAGTTTCAAAGTGGTTGGACGTCTAAGATAATGAACTTGTTGTGGACTCATCAGATTCCCTGCCCTTATACATTTAAAAAGGCGTTCATTGCAAAAGATGCAGATTTTGGCAACGACTTTTTAAAAGTTGATGCTCACTGTAAAGAATGTGATTCATCAGCCATAGGAACAATGACAGAACCACCATTGGAAGGGGAGAGTTCAGTAATGATTTGGCGAGCTGTTGATACACGGGGCGTTTCACGTTCAAAAAACGACCTATTGCTGCGCTGAAAACAAGTGGCCAAGTTCGTTACGTAGCAGTCAGCTGCAAAAACAATGCGTTTTGGTGAACCTGAGCCACCGAATTTGCCGACAAATTACGCAATTCGCAAAATAAAACAGGAACAAAGGTCTGAAGAATTACAGATTCCTAATAATGGTGATACAGTTCCTGCTCTGGTTAGGATGAAGTTTCGGCATCCATATGCCGGTGTCATCCACAAAATAGCTACAGATAAATTCTATGTATTATAACACAGTTCTACCCAGCGTCGATTTTATATAGAGTTTAGACGAGCAAACTATACGATCATTTCCGTGGACGCTACTGGATTACTAGTTCAAAAAATTAGAATGCCAAGAGGACCAAGTGGTCACATTTTTTAATGTGAAGATTAATACTGGAAAAGTTCAATTCCCAGTATTCCAACTATTGACAGAAAACCGTGATGCTAACAGCACATGGTATTGGCGTAACGAATGAGAGAGAACTGGACAGCGCAGCCCCCATCAGGTTGTCTGTGACCAGTCAAAGGCACTGTTTTTCTAAATAATTTGGGAAAAGTGTCTGCTACAAGCAATACCAGGAAACTTGTGTCCTTGCTCTCACAGAGAATAACTCTTATCTCCCTCCCTGTTTTATCAGAATAGATATTTCGCATTTTATTTCTGTAGCAAGCAAATGAAATTTGTGGAAACAGACAACCGTAGAAAGATAAAAAATTTTGCATGCGATGACTAGGACTCTTAGTAAAGTGTATTTGTTTTGACCATTTGAAGTCATTCTCTTCAATATGTGCTGCTGTGCCCGGGCAGAAACTGATGCAAATGGTGATAGCAATATGCCTACCCCTGCAGAGTCAAGTAGGATCCAGCTAATTGAATGGCTACAAAAATTGCATGTCGATATTGAAGGCAGTATTTCGAAGAGACTGCTCGGACTCTCGAAATGTTTTAGAAAACGACGAAGCAGAAGAAAAACTCATTGACGAGAGCAATAATGCAGGACCGACAGAGACCTGGGTTTCTAAGTTATTCCATACAGTTATGGATGTGGAAAAAGCTAGAGGTGACCGCTTGAATGCACACTTTTCCCCCCTCATTGCCCAAAAATTTCGCATAATAGCACATGACTTCGTAGTATGGTCAGGGTACTAGTGAATCTATTGTGACGTAGTGAAATGAGAATAAATTCAAATAACAAAAGAAAAATAGTATATTAAAAGGTTATAGACAAGTTACAATAAATTGCTAAATTTAAACACTCCGGCAACCTTTTCCTTCCAGTACCCTGCTTCACCGCAGAAAAATAAAAGCCACGCGTAATGCGAGCTATCGGTCGTTCCGTGACAATTACCGTCACATGGCCTGACGCCAAAATGTAAACCGGTCGTGGCGGACCGTGTGCCTACAGCACGCGAGATCGTCTCGCCCACACTCCTACACTCCTCGTACAACGCTCTCCGATGTAAACTGAATGAGAACGAGGGCTCGCTAGCTAGATTCCTAGGAGTTTACAGCCTATGGTTATTTTTGGCTCTGCCACGCTCTCTGCGTCAACTGCCAGAGCGCAAAATCCCGGAAGTTCAGGCTCAACCCTTTCCTCCCCTGCAGCGTGCTTTCACCTAACGATTCTGGCCCTCTGGTGTTAACGACGCCACACTATTAAGAGCACCCAATGTCACAGCCCCTTCCGCATCTGTGGTGGGGGACTTCAAAGATTTGAAGCAGAGTCCTCCAAGGAGATCTGGGACCCCTGTCTGTCCACAAATTTGACGCCAAACACATAACAGCGATTAAGGGAGTTGTGTTGTTTGCTGCAACATTTGCCGAAAAAAAACAGTGGAAAAATGATGACAAGAGTGACGGTGGAGAATTGCAATACTTTGAAACTTGGAAAGAGCAGTCTGTGCCTCCAAAACGACGGAGAGTGCCGAAGTACGCCGTACCCTGACCAGAAATAAAGGGCATGGATGAAGCAGACAAATTGAAAATCCTCTCCGCATCATTGCAGCTGTTAAAAAATGGGAATTTTGTCAGGTTTTGTAATGATAAAAGATATTACTGCGGAGATAAAAAATACCTGCTCCTTAGATTGTGTCTGACAGATGATTGCTATGATCTAATCTTAGAACGAGAAATTTCGCTTGTTGATGACAGACATTACAAATCTGACAATAGAAACTTCACAATATTTACGGAGCCACCAGATATACATATATTCTACCATTCAAAGCGTTGGCAACAGTTCTTTCAGAAAATCGTTTGCAAAATCCTTGTGCTCGAAGGAAGGGAACTTTGTTGAGGTATGAATGCTAAGGAAATGTGTGTAACTTGGTTAGAGAGTTATTTCAGAACATATCCAGCATGACTGTTACCCGCTCACGCTTCAACAACATTTGTAATAACAATTTGAAAATGAAGATTAATAATACGTTACGCTAGATGCAAATGCTAGATTTATTCCAATGTATTATTCGTTCGGGGTTTGGCATCAATCGAATAGGTTCTTGCAAGTTGTTTGCAAAATTCTACAAAAAAAAATAAAATAAAATAAAAGAAAGAAAACATCTTGTGAGATAGGTGAAGTTAATAAAACCATGGGGCCTTTAACATTTATTGATATAGATTTTGGGGGATTACGGGTGTGGGCTCCATTCACGGCGTAGATGAAAAGTTCAACAGGTCTTGCGTTATTTAAGACATTCGCGTGTTCTTAAAAATAAGCAAGGAGAGGATTGTTTTAAGAGGAGCAGTGGCTTATCAGCTATCAGTTAAGCAAAGCAGTGGCTTATCATTGGTTATGCCCACCATCTGGCGGGTCAATGTGACACTAACAATGACAGTGGTAGTGTAATTAGAGCTGTTAAAGAAGATTCTTCCCCCATCTTCTTAATGACTCTAAATTTTAAGACAGTGTATGTGTAGTGTAGTGTTTTAGAGTTTTTTAGTTATACGCTTTAGGTAGATCACGTGAATTTTGTTTTTCATTACTTGTATATGAACTGACTGAAATGTATTTTTGATTGTACGATATATTAATTTTTAATGTGATAAATGATTTGTATTATTTATGATTTCTGTGTATTTTAGGTGTAAAAACTGTGGAAAACCAATTTGAAGTAGCTTGAATGGAGGCAAGGTTGCAGAACTTTATAACTGTCTTTCCAATACCTAAATATTGATCTAATTCGTACTTTTTATTGAGTATTCATGTGCGTTAGTCTGCGGGACTTTTGTCTGAAGGATAAGAAGTACTCAATTTATTTGAGAGTAGAAGAGCTGTAGGAAAAAACAAACTGTAGCTAATGCATCATTCGAAAAATAAATAAAATTTATTTGCTATTGGTGAGCTGTATTGTTGATGAAATGGGCAAAGGCGATTGAAATAAATGTTTCGGAAGTTTTTGTTTGATCCTCTTTTGGTGAGAATTATGTTTTCCTAGCTGAAAATGGAGTGCATCGGAGTGGAGTGGAGTGATGGTAGATGGTTTTATGGGAATAAAATTTAGTCGAGAGATGTAGAAAGTAATTTTTCAAATGTAGAATGTCCAATTCGTTATGAATTTGTTCAGTTACATTGTCTTAGGGGGAACGTTGCGTTACTTTTTGAAACGATGAATGTGCCAGTTGCGAGTCCAATGTTCAATTAGGTTTAGATGAGTTTGTAAGAATGATATTGCAGTTTGTAAATTTGAACTATTGCTATAAAGAACTGAGTTGTCAGCAAATAAAGCTATAGAAGTTTTCATAGAAAAAACTGGAACAATCCGGATCAAACGAGGAAAAAAACATTTAGAAGGGTCTTATGTTTTGGCTATGGTGGTGACTGGTTGGTTTTTGGAGGATTAGTTAGGGTCACACAGCCATTTTAAAATGGTTGTATCTTAAATATTTCGTCGCCATCGTCTTCAGCGGAAACAAATTTCATTCAGGGGAAAATATCCATCTTTAATATTTTAGTTTTAGGAAGACGCTGGTAAAATTTTGAACTTTTTCAATTTTCCAAAAATCAGGAGTTACGACGACTTACTTCATTCTCTTAAAATTCCTTCACACTAACAACAAAATTAAATCAAAAACGTGGGAGCAATTTAAAAAAATGGTGTCTTTATGTAAAGTAGTTCCAAAGTTAAAATATCACTCTATTCAAGGGGCCTCAACATATGCCAGACCGATACGGGAATATCAGTTTTACCACTAACTTTGTTCACAGGCAGATGGACAGACGTTTTGCCATTAATCGATTTTTCAGTGTCAGTGGAGCAAAGTGAACAAAGCATGGATTCTCACTACACCACGTGTAACGGGAATTTTTTCGAAATCTCGCAACTGTATTTATCCACTTTTTCGTTACCAGAGCCCTGTAATAATAGTTTTTTCTGTTGAGAATTCGCCGTTTTTTCGCGCAGCGTTTCCAATCACTTTTAAACTTTTGTTGGGGATAGTGTTAGATGTACTCTATAAGATGACATGATAGCCGTTTGGCTCTATTCTTTTCGTTTGTCTACCGTTGGTGATACTACACGTACCATTGATCATTTTGACATGCACTTCAACAACCATTTGAAAAATTCTTAAAGAAACAAAGCGTGATTTTTTTTAATTCAAATTTTTAAACGAAAACCGCTTTCTGCCATTGAATTCAGTGTATTCACGTTCTACAAAAACGTACCAACGATGCAGGGTGTGTATTTTAACCGTAAATTAAATTATCGGTTTACATAAACCCGAAAGAAAAGGCAGCAGTAATTATCGCCTTCTGTTATCAGTGCAACAACAATGACCCATAATTCGTGTGGGATACACATTTTGCCAATGAGCATTGTGCTAGTAAGAGCTAGCACAATGCTCATTGGCAATATGCATTAGCAAGCGAAATGCGCTAGCAAGAGAAATTTTTTGGGTGGTGGGGGGAGGTACCCCAACAGAAGTTAGTGCTTCGAGTTTACATAATTTAAAATCGACCATGAGTAAATGTAACTTAAACAGTTAGACGAATAATCAATTCC